CATTCCTGGTGAATCTCTGAGAATGTGGTCCCATGTTTCACTTTGTGGTTATGAAGCTTCAAGAGGAACCCTACTCTTTTTTAAAAAAAAACTTTACTATTATAGGAATTTTCAGACATATACAAAAATAGATAATAGTTTAATGAACTCCCCATGTATCCATCACCAAACTTCAAAAATTATCAACTCTTTATTCTCTACATTTTCCTACCTCCCCACCCCTGTTATTTTGAAGCAAATCCCAGGCATCATCAATTTATCTGTATTTCAGTATGTATCCCTAAAAAGATGGGAACTCTTATTTTTAAAATATCCAGATACTATAACCATATCTTAAAATGATTAATTATTAAGTCAGTATTTATATTTCTCTGATTGTCTGCATTATTTTCCAATTTGTTAAGTTGCAACCCAGGTGAGGTCCAAACATTATAAACACTTGATATCTCTCTCTCAATTATCTTTTAAAGTATAAGGTCCCCTTCCATAACCCTCCCTTCCCCCGCCTTCTCTTTTCCTCTCTTCCTCACTCCCCCTCTCTCCCCTAACCCCCCCTTTTGTGAGGAAGCCAGATTTTTCCATACTCTGCTAAGTATGGATTTTGCCCATTGTGTATACCCAAACTTTCATTTTAACGTGTTCCTCTGTCCTTTGTATTTTCTGTAAATTGGCAGAGGCCTTTTCAGATGAAGGGGTTTTTTTTTTCAAGTTTACTTTATAGTTGTACTTTCATCAGGAGATAGTATCTGGTGATGATGTGATGATCAACCATTATTTAATGATCAACCATTATTACTAGATTATCTAGATCTAGTAATTCATTAGGAGTTGTAAAGTAGTGATATCCTAATTTTCTTCTTTTTTTCATTTATTGTCTAAATACTTCTATAAAAAGAAATATTCCTTTATCAAGTATTTGGCTCCTATATGAAAGGCAGTCAGCCATTTTCCCAAGGAGGCCTGATTTCTTTGGGAAGAAGTATAGAGCTTTGATTTTTCTTTATAAATTTAGCCTTAAAAATATTTTTTAAGAAAGAGAGCCAACATCAGTTATAATTGCTTTTAGCACATTTTTACACTTTCTGAGCACATCTGTTAGAAAGCTTGTTACAGATAGAGGAATGAGATTAAAATCTCATTCGTTATTTACTTTTAATTTGTCAACTGAAAGGGGAGAATGAGAGGAAACTAACATTTGTTAGATTACTTCAGCAGACCCTGAGCTTTGGTTCCTTTTTTTTTTTTTTTTAATATTTATTTATTTTTAGTTTTGGATGGGTTGGGTCTTCGTTGCTGCATGCGGGCTTTCTCTAGTTGCGGCAAGAGGGGGCTACTCTTCGTTGCGGTGCGTGGGCTTCTCATTGCGGTGGCTTGTTGCGGAGCACGGGCTCTAGGCGCACAGGCTTCAGTAGTTGTGGCATGTGAGCTCAGTAGTTGTGGCTCGAGGGCTCTAGAGCACAGGCACAGTAGTTGTGGCACATGGGCTTAGTTGCTCCATGGCATGTGGGATCTTCCCAGACCAGGGCTCGAACCCACGTCCCCTGCATTGGAAGGTGGATTCTTAACCACTGGACCACCAGGGAAGTCCCGCTTTGGTACCTTTTTAAAAGACTTTTACTTTAATCTTAAGAGGTTGGTCAATATTGTGCCATTTTATAGATGAGGAGACCAAAGCTTAGAGTGGTAAAATGACTTATTCCGTGCCACACTGCCTATAAATAATGTACAGTTGTGGCGTTTTGTTTGGATTGGTTTTTATATGTAATTAGCCAACTTGGTTTTTCCAGTACTGCATTAAGGACATCAGAAAGTCATTGGATTAGAGCTGTAAGACATTTAAAAAATGTCCAAAAGACGCTTAAGACATTTTAAAAATAACTAAATTTTTACTGCTTTATTTTATGTATATCAGAAAAGTTTGAGTTCAACCTGGGATACAAGTAAGGAACAGGGCTAGAGAATAAAAATAGAAAAGCATAATCTTGGAAACTGGCATCTTTTTTCTTTCTTTTAAGGGAGAGGTTTTTGGTGAGTTTGAATTTTCAGGTATTGATAGTTTTTAAAACAATGCATAGCCATTTTCCTTTCTCCTCAATTTTATTGAGGTATAATTGGCAAATAATGCATAGTCATTTTCAAATCACTTTCAATCCTATGAGTGGAACATCCACAGTTCCTCTAAACATCTGTGAGAAATTGACTTTGAGATCAGAGACTTTATTTCAGATTCCAAGTAGTAGCTTACTAGGTATATGAATTTAACAGAGTTTTCAAATTTTTCTTTGTAGAACTTTTAAAAATAGGCACTCTGAGACTTGAAACAGTTCTTGAACATGGTTTGGTTCTCAAAATACCAGCTTTGAGGGTCTGATTTTTTTTTTTTCCAGATTACTATAAACACATCACCTACTCCAGAAGACCTGATGTTAAGTCAATATGTTTACCGACCCAAGATACAGATTTATAAAGAAGATTGTGAAGCTCTTCGCCAGAAGATTGAAGAGTATGAAAGTTTTCATTCTTTTGTGTGTTTTGTTGGATGGGTAAATAATCTGTGTGGCAAGGTTTTGATTAGAATAACACCGGCATAGGAAAAGTTGATAGCATTAATTGGCAGTGTGATATGG